CAAGATTTGTAAATCTACTCCCGTCTTTGAAAGCATACAGCGTTAGCCAATTTAATCAGTTTCTATCATGCATCTGAAGACCCAATGTGAGATGGAATCCACAGCAGTGCACTCTGAATCCACCTGTTCACAATCCTACAATACCTTGTCTGGCTTCTGACACAAGCATGCCAACAATTTAATTGCTTAATGAGTTGAGAGCATTTATGGATGACAGAGAATCAGTTACAATTAAAACCTGTCAATCTTTGATACATAGATTGCATTCAGTGCAAGGGAGTATGGCAAACAGTTCTGTCTGAAGGTAGAGGCCCCAATTAGTGATGCGTGCTCCAATTTCTTTAAGAGAGCCATCACTCCTGTACGACAACACAGCACTACCATCTGCACCAGTGGAATTTGGTGAACAGAGAACCATCAGCGTAAAATATTTGCGAGTGTGTGTGCTGTGTACTACGTTATCAATGTACAGCTTAAGGCCTCTGTTTGGCTTCAAGGCGAAGTTTTGTTGTGATTAAGAAGTAGTTTTGGGGGAAATGGAGGCATGATAGTTTGGAATGGGTAATATTCCATGTAGCGGAGAAGTGCCGCTGATGCTTACTTGAACCATAGATCATGTATCTGATTCATGCTGAGGTCGGTTCAGTTTTTTTTCCGATCCATCTGGAGGGGGAGTGTTCACCAATGCTGAGGAAAGTTTGGAGGGCTTCTGTGCAGGGGTTTGAAAGAGCTTGCCTGAAGCAATTAACCCCAATTAGGATATTTTTTCTTTCAGTAACACGATCTCTGATGCTTGGAATATCAAGTTCTTTTTGATATTTAAAATTTTTGGCAGTACGAGGGCATCCATAAATGATCCTCATTGCTTCGTTTCTGCAGTTTTTTTCTCACCCTCCAAGCTTCCAGTGCAGACACAAGCAAGAGCAAGTAGTGGCACAGCATAATCACCAATGATCTAATATAAGTAAATGATACATCATTTTCACAATTTAACAATAGCACCAAACCTGGGGTGAAACGCCAGCCACAACTCTAAGTGCTCTTAGTCTTTCTTTGTATCTGGCGACAAAGTCTTGTTCAACAGGTCCAAGTATGGTACCCTCAAAGCCTAGATACCTGTATCTGCTTACATATTCTAGAAGAGACCCATCATCAACTGGATCTGACGAACTGTGCCTCTCGTCTGTCGAGGAGGACGCCTATTGAGTATCTTTGTTTTAATCAGTAGAGATTACAACCCCAGTTCCTGACACTATTCTAGTACAGATTAGAGAATGTTTTTTGGGTATGAAACCGGTGGTGTGAATTCATTATATCCATCAGCAAAAACTAATCACATAATATGGGGCTGACCTAGGCATAGCAATTAAGTAATGCAATAATAGAATATTGAACAGTGGTGGGACTGAGCACACCACCCTGTGGTGTTTCCTAAATTCAAAGTCTTTAGTTACACTTTCTAAATGTCCCTGGAACAACAACAGAAACGATTGTTCTGTTTGACAGTAGCCTTTAAATTCCATCGAAGAAGCCATCCTCCAAATCCAATCTGGCAAGTTCAACTAATGATTACATGTCGGTTGCTACATCGAAAGCAGAATTTAAGGTCAAGGAAGGTAGTTGTATGAGCTGTCAGTGTGCAGAGTGAGAAAATGTGGCTATGCAATGATGCACGCTCCTTCCATGCATGAAACCATGTAACCGGGAGACAAAAATTGTTTGATTCTGTACAGAGACTATTAAGATCATATCTCTCAAATGTTTTACACAAGCAGCTAGTAAGATATATTGGGCAAATGCTTTTTGGTTGATTGGGCTTAGGAATTGGAATGAATGAGGCTGGTTGTTCCAAGATTGAGGGAGCCCCCAGTTACATAGCTCATGTTATATAATTCAAGTAATGGATTTACCTGACTCGACACAGCAATCTGAGTATTGCGTAAGTAAATACCATCCTCACCAGGCGACGTGGAGTTGCCCTTAGTTAGTGCTGCATCAAGTTCATAATTAGTGAAAGGAATGTTGCAATCATCTGCCTTGCGAGCCATAAAGCAAACAAGTCTCCTCCCCTTTAGCTGCATCATATTTGTCATTTAATTTGCCTGTGTGGTACTGGGAAGATTGTAATGGAGAAGATAATGGGAGTGATAGAGTACTTGTAGAGTATAGTTTTAGGAATGCAATTTTGTTCGCACAAACCTGTTTGAGTGATAAATAATAGATACTGAGACAGGAGAGAGGTCGGTTCAGCTTGGTCAGTCTGCAAACTGGAAGATTGGATCAGATGAGTAAATAGTTACCCAATTTCATCTCTAGCTAATGCAGTGTTTAGAAAATTGGAGAAAGGGTGAGAAGACTGGAAACTGAGTATGGACTTGGGACACAAAGTGCAGACCTCACTTAAGGAGAAAGACCTATGAGTGAGCATGGTGACCAGCATATTGCTAGAGGCATGCATCAACTGAATAACCTATGCAGCTAATGTTTGTTTGGCAAATCTAAAGGTAGCCTTTAGGAATCTCAGCAGTGACATCGATGAAATAAAGTCAGTTGACCAGATGAAATTGCTGGCCACAGATGCTCCAACTTCAACCTATTCACTATTTGTATGTCTCATGACAATGTAAAGGCTTTCAAATGAGCCGAGGTAAGTAACAGCCCTTAACTTGTAAATACAACTAGGATCTCTTAACCTAACCCTGTAAAACCATTTTTTTTTTTTTAACAAGTCAGCCGTCTCCCACCGAGGCAGGGTGACCCAAAAAAGAAAGAAAATCCCCAAAAAAGAAAATACTTTCATCATCATTCAACACTTTCACCTCACTCACACATAATCACTGTTTTTGCAGAGGTGCTCAGAACACAACAGTTTAGAAGCATATACCTATAAAGATACACAACAAACTGCTAATTGTCATAGAGTCGCCAGGAAGTGGAATAGCCTAACAAGTGATGTAGTGGAGGCAGGAACCATACATAGCTTTAAGACAAGGTATGACAAAGCTCTGGAGGCAGAGAGAGGACCTAGTAGCGATCAGTGAAGAGACAGGGCCAGGAGCTGTCTCTCGACCCCTGCAACCACAATTAGGTGAGTACGTATGCACACACACACACACACACACACACACACACACACACACACAACACACACACACACACACACACACACACACACAACACACACACACGCACACACGCACACACGCAACAACACACACCGCGCGCGTATGTCCATGAGATGAGGTTAAGGATCAACCTGAGGACAGGAGGGATAGGGAACACATGATACAACATATAAAATACTGAAAGGAATTGACAAAGTGGGTAGGGACAGAATGTTTTGGAGATGCAACATAGCAACAAAGGGTCACAGCTGGAAGTTGAAAAACTCAAATGAGTCACAGGGATGTTAGGAAGTGTTTCTTCAGTCATAGAGTTGTCTGGAAGTGGAACAATTTGGAGAGTGATGTAGTAGAGACAGGATCCATACATAGCTTTAAGAAGAGGTACAATAAAGCTCTTAGAGTAGGGAGAGAGTGGACCTAATAGCAACCAGTGCAGAGGCCTTCCCAGGAACTATGAATTCACCCTGCAACCTCAGATAGGTGAGTACACACACACACATCCACCCCATACCCTAATTTTAAGAAGAGGTACAATAAAGCTCTTGGAGCAAGGAGAGAGTAGACCTAATAGTGACCAGCAGAGAGATGGGCCTAGGACCCTGTGGCTCGACCCGTGCAACCACAAATAGGCGAGTACACATGCACACACTCTTTACATACATACACACTTGACAAATGGTAACCAACACAACAGACTAGGCTGTTGATAAGTGTCCCTTTATCATTTAGTAACTAGCTTGTGGTGACTAAAACACTTGGCTGCTGCTCCCAAGCCTTATTTTTTCTCATTATACTTATCTGAAATAGTAACAAAAGCAAACATAAACTGAAAGAAACAACATAATATAATGTAATGACAAAGAACATACCTGTGGTGTTTATTCTCTAATAAATAAAGCATTTCACCCAATTATTACACTCCTGTGTACAAACATGTATCATGCTAATAAAAATTTTTATTATCATTATTTTATTATTATTATTTATTATTATTATTATTATTATTATTATTATTATATTATTATTATTATTTACAAAATGTGCATGGCTGTAACAAATCCAGTGCGTCCCTGATCACAGTGTGCACGAATTACAGAAATCCTTAGGATAAGTACAAAATGATATTACCAATATCACATTTCATCTCCTAGAAACTAATAGTAACAGTACAAGTACCGTGCAGTACAGTGAATACAGTATTATCATCACGTTAGGTAATCTTTTCATATATGAACTCACTCCCAGAATAGTGATCAGGGGCTTACATACCAAACAGACTTTGTTAGAGGAGAAGGCGGAATGACTTGACTGGAAAATTCACTAAGTAAATCACAGTTCTGAATACAATTCAAATATTTATTTCTTTGTGTGGTACAAAATAAGTAGTTTACACTTAATAAAACATTGGAAGGCACAAAAGAAAGCACTAGTATGCAATGCCTTTCTGTCAAACATCATTGCCTTGGCATCCCTAGTTTTGAATGTATTCATTATCCTCCCATCATTTTCCTAGCAGATGTTGGATCCCTTTAAAGTGAGATTTCTCTGAGATTATCACTCCTATGTCTTTCACATTTGTTTTTATTTCCTCAAATTTTCCATAGCGGAGTATTAAATTTGTCTTCATTGAACTTCATATTATTTTCTGATGCCCATTTAAAGACTTGGTTAATGTGCGCTTGGACAATAAATATGGTTGCCCGTAGTGTTGTAATTTGCAATATTATTGTTCAGGCATGAAATGCTGTATTACTACTTTGCAAGCTTTTGTTATTAATTAATATCTACTCCATAGGTATGCATTGAAAAGCAGTATGACAACATAACCTGTGCAAACCTGACGGCATACTGAAGAGGAGGAAGTGGTGCAAAAAAATTGTCACAACGATAAATATGTACATAGACCTGGTGACCAATATTCCAGCTGTCTTCTTTGTGCTGTTCCTGGGATCCTGGAGTGATAAACATGGACGGAAAATTCCTCTCATGTTTCCTTTAATTGGAAGTTTTCTTAGCACAGTTATATACTTCGTGAGTTCTGATAGATTTTTTGGTTATATTTTAGCTTATTGAAATTTTATACCTCTAGTGGTTTAATATTTGGTGGGTTTGCCTTGTTAGGTATTCAACTAATGGGTTACTGAAATATTTTACTATAGTATTACTGGGGGTAACTGTAGAAAAATTATTCCTTTTGTATGCCTTCACTTTTAACTATTTATTTATTTTTCCTGCACTAATGTGAAAACAACTTGTACAGAATGTGTTTGTAAAGTGGGGTAAATGCTTCACTAACTCATGCAAATGTACTTGTTATGAAACCCGAAGTAGACAGGCATTAATACTTTTTCATTTAAAGGGTGTTTCCCCTTTGCTTTTTCGTTTTTTTTACATTCTCGGCATTCTCTCGTTTGCTCGTTCTCCCTTTTATTTATGATTTTTTAAAGGGGAGTTCTTAGAAAATGTTAAACCAGTGAACTAATTTAGTGGTTTAATGGAGGAGGGGTGAGAGAGAGTTAGTGTTTAGAAGGGGAATCCCTTCCTTTAGGACTGAGGTAGAAGTCCTTTTTCTGGGGTTATTCCCTTTTCTTTTAATGCATAGGGCCAGCTTCGAGTCATCGGGATTCTTTCGACATATATTGGTCCATAGTGCCTGTAACCTTCGGTTCCTTTTTTGGATTGCCTAAAGTGTTTCAAACATTGTCAGTGTAATAATCACCAGACGGTTGCAATAGTGTGTGAGGGTGATTTTCATACCATGAAGGTTTGCACTTCAAGCCACTTTGCACAGATTTCTTTATCTTTGTAGTAGGCAAACTTTTTCAATTTCTTGCCCCTCCTCTGAACCAGTTTCAAGGTCTGGCCTCTTGCTCTTGAAGTTGATCTCATCAGGTCTCGTGGTTAGTTCTTCATTGTCCTCCTCCACCAACTTTCCACCCACCTCCCCATAACCTCAACCCAAGGACTTTCCCATTTGGCCAAATGATTCCTCTATGGCACTGGATTTCACGTTAGCTCTAACCTTCAAATTCACTTTTGTTACACATTCTGGCACTGTTTTTCAGAGCAGAGTTAGAAAGGTTTTTGTCACTCCCTCCCAAGCTTACCTATAAGGTTTAACTCAATTGAGATATTTAAAGTGCTCTACCAAAACACTCTCTTAGGGCAGTTGAGTTTCTGAGGTCTATACTATAGAACTTTCAAAACAGAGCTTTTGATGTAAGTTTTGAAAAGATTGAAATAACTGATGGTCCATGGGCGCAGGTGAGGAGTGGTATTAGGAGCTAAAACTTCACCTTATGAAGCTCATGTCCCCTATGTCGCTCTGCCAGTCTGTAGGTGGACCAGGGGCATTGTTAACCCTGGAGGCATTAAGGGTCTCAATTTTTTCAGTTAGGTAATCTTTCACATTGTGGGCAAATGCATGGTGTGTAACGTTATAGACAAGTCCCTTGTGCCATGCCTTACTGTTATGCCTCAAGCAAACAAATATCCTTGAGGCCATTCTTTTGCCTGAACGTTGGGAGTTCAGAGTGATACATAAAAGGCTTAACCTTTGCACTCACCACTAGCATTGGCACTCACAAAAATGTAAGCTGTCTTTCATAGGCTTATGTCCTGGGTGTGCCTTTTCCTCATGAGTAATGTAGTCCTGCCTGGCATTTTCTTCCAGAACCGGCCTGTTTCTCCACAATTTAAAACACTTGTTCAGGTTTCAGTCTTCACTGTTATGTACTCCTTGAATTTGAATATTTTTCAGCGCTTTGTGGTCGAAAACTGCAGCCTCACATACTCTCACCTATGGATGCATAGTTCTTAACTCTTCAACCAACTTTGTGCGTAAATTCACTCAATCATCATAGTTGCAGGATTTTTTTCATTAAATTCCACAATGAACTTCCTAGCCTTTTACATATGAATCGCTTGAGAGACGCTCTCTCCTTTAGTGTTTTTCATTTATCACAAACAATAGAGTCTCTCAAATCTTCAATCACTTGCGATTTTGTTTTCGAATCACAGTTAAACCTTTGGCAAGGGAACAGTTCTTGATTGTCTTTCTGTGCCCACAATAGATATCGTGGTTGGATTGGGGTTTTCATGTACAACTTGTCTAGTTAGGCGATCGGCCTCCATTTCATACTTATCAATGATCTTCTTTTTCATTTCACTGGATGTCTCACCCTTATTGGTGTACGGTTAGGACTTAGAAGTTCTTGGGGCCATGGTCATTATTTCTCCATAAACAGCACCGAAAACCTGTAATACTATGAAATATTCGAGTGTATGTTGATTGTTACCGGGAGGCGGGCTGGGTAAAAAATGGCACGGCGGCCATGTGAGGCGGCTGAGGGAGCACATTGGACGCGTCTCGGACAAATAATCGTGTAGGTGAGGGGTTTTTAATCGGATGCGTGGCAAAATTTTTTGCGATTTAGTAAGCGGTATGCGGATTAATCGCTATGTGATGCCATCGTTAAGCGGGGGTCACTGTATTTATAGTATATGCTTCTAAACAGTTGTATTCTGAGCACTTGCAAAAACAGTGATAATGTGTGAGTGTGGTGAAAAGTGTTGAATGATGATGAAAGTATTTTTCTGTTTGGGGATTTTCTTTCTGTATTGGGTCACTGCTCGGTGGGAGACGGCCGACTTGTTGAAAAAAAATAATAATAATATATAATATTAATAATATAATAATAATATATCTTTATTTCTACAAGTATTGTACTAAAAAGGTTATACAGGCTAGTGACTTTAATGATCTACTACTTATAGAAAGCGCTTGTTTATAAGAGACTTTCGGGCAAATGAGGTCAGTTTTGTTCCATGGATGCGGACCAACAGCAGGTGACTAACTCCAAGTAACCATTTTAATGATTGGGGAACATAGACAGCGGAGTAAAGAACAAGCCAGTTGTATTATCCTCACTGGGAATTGAGCGGACCCTCGCGTGTGAGCGGAGCTTTTAGCTAGGACACGGGAAACAAACAATAAATACCAAATATTACAATAAATATAAACTTTAATACAATAAATACTACTCACTCTCACCAACATTTAGACTCAAAATTTAAAGGTAAGTAATGAATGTATGTGTGTATATTTTACTTTTGTAATAGTTTTTTGATACAGACTCTCACTTAGCGGTGTTTGTTTACCAGTGGACTCGACTTACGACCAGGCTCTCTGACCAGTTTGTATACCATATCATATATATTTGAGCTGATTTCCTCTATTTTTATATTAAGTATCAGTAAATTATGTATAAACATTTTAAAGATATGCCAGATAGTGATTATAAATGATGCGAAGGTAACATGAAAAAATAATCTCAAAGAGGATTGAACAAACCAATTACCATTATAGTATTATGTCCTACTTAGCGACCTAATTCTTTTACTGGTGAGGTCTTAGACACGGATACTCCGTCATTTAGTGAGGAAGAGGACTATATATGGCTGTGGTTTGTATGTTGGTTTATGTGTGGAAAATAAAGCTGGTTGCATCAGGCCTGATACATGAGCTGGTCCAGAGTGGGGTGGGGCATTGCCCCAAAAAACCCTCTCAGGTAAACTCCAGGTTTTAGGTTAAGTGTAACTTGGTTATCTGGCATTTATATGCATTTAAAAAAGGTAAAAAGGGGTGTTTCTGCTTTACAGTTGATATCCACTTTATGGGATGGTGCCCAAGAACCTCAACTACTGTCTTAAGTGGGGCTCTTCTGTAGTTTTATGAAAACTGTGTGAAAGGGATGAACCAATAAATAATAGTGTAAGCTAAATTTGGTATGTTTATGAGTTGTTTGTTAAGAGCTTTAAATTGACATATTAAGTATAGAGTTGAGAGGAATCAGCTGATCAAGCGGCACTTGGGAAATTTGCCTGCTTATTTTGTCAATTCACTTTGAGAATATTTACAGTCCCCATAAGTACATATTTAATGTCTGTTGAGAATAGGGATATTTTAGAAGCATCAAATACTTTAATTAGCAACACCATTAAATTGTGCTTTGTTAGTGGTAGTAAGTGGTTTATCGTGATGAATTTATATTTGTGAAGATTAACAGGTTCGAGTATTCGGCAAACAACATTTTAGTAATAGATTGAAAACTTTAATTTTGAAATAATCTTACACTATCTAGAATTTTTGAGTTGGTTGGTGGCATAATATTTAGTGTATGAATTGGTTAATTTTTGGAGTGGGTGTTATAAGAGAGCTTGAATTGGTGTGTAGGCATGGGCTTTTGTATAAAAAAAAAAAATGGTCAGTTGGACCGGACACGTCGTCGTAAGCTCCTCTTTATTGCTGGGGTTATTTGTGTATTGCATTTTGTATGTTCAGCAATGAATTCAGATCGTTCGAGGCCCTTTAATGTGCATAGCATTTTTGCATAGGGGAGAGATGGGCACAAGGGATATCAAGTGTGTTTTGTGTCTTTGTGTTATGCAAAATGCATTTGTTGTAGTTATCAAGAGTTGAGGAGGAGGGTTAATTTGAGATATATGTTCTGTGTTGTAGTAGGCACAATAATATGAGTGAGTATTTTGTATCGTAAGAGGTTCAAGCTCATTAAATAGTGGTGGTAGTGTGCTTGCCTGGCCACAGGAGTATGTATAAACTACAGAGCTTTGTATTGGATTATTACAAGGTTTTTTAAGGTGATTTGTGTGGTTGAAATTCCCTCTTCAAGACCAAGCATCATCAATACTTGTAAAGTTGGCTTTTTTTTTGGAGATCTGTGGAATGAAAACCCCTTTTTTTTCATTTGGGTTCTTCAGGATATTAACTATCACTAGATTAGAAAGCAGGAGATTCTCAGGAATGTAGTAGTTAATTGTGATTATGTAATTTTAGTTTTTATTAGCCTTTCAGTAGTCTGAGATTGATTCATATTTATTCGGACTTTTGTATTTTCCTCATAAATTGTATGTGTGGTGATATTATTCACATTTGATTAAGGTTTTTGAATTGTGTTTTGATTGGGAAATTGATCAGTATCTAATAAAAATTACATTGTAATATTACAGAT